TTACCTCAACTTAGCACCAGCAAGCTTGTTAGCTAGACAGTTAGCATCAGCTAACAATATTTACTTATTTTCAGTATGGTTATGAATAAACATTCATATCTGTCTACTCCGCTAGTTAATCCAAACAATATAAAAATGTATACTGTTGATAAACAATATAAAAACAGACGTCACATAGGGCTAAATGCGTAGCATTTTAATAAAACTGTTAACGTTACAGCAGTGGGGAATATGAACGTGCATGAGTTATTTTAATCTGTTATTTTAATGTTTTTATTTACCTAAAACGTAGAGACACTGATGTTGATGTGTCTGCATTCAAGCATTTCAGTGGGCTTAAATAGATCACCCTTTACAGCAGATTTAGTTCACAAACAACTGACAGTTTTGACCTAAATATGATTTTCAGTTACAATAATTAATCCTAAAATTCAACATTAGTAGCTTACTTTTAGCAGCATCAGTCCCGGTTCTTACTTCTGAATTCAGTTCACTGGAGACTCGCACTAAACGGTTCATTTGAATCAGTGAGTTGTCGACTCGAGAACAGCTACAATCGGATCATTCCAATTTGTGAATGAACCGATTTAAAAGGTTCATTGAAAAGAATCAGTTCGTTCATGAATCAGACACCGCTTCTGCGTGTCAGAGCACATGATATATTATAAGGAGTAACAATATGTTTTATGAAATGTAGTGAAGTAAAAAGTATGATCTTATGCTTTGGAATGTAGTGAATGAAGTAAAAGTAAAAGTTACTCAAAATAAAATTACTCCAGTAAAGTACAGATGCTTGAAAAATGTACTTAAGTACAGTAACGAAGTAAAACTACTCCGTTACTGTCCACCACTGCCAAAGCACAATGCTTATTGCAATTTATTGGATGGGAGGTGCCCTTCAACGTTCTGTCCATTAACTGAAAACAGGCTAGACTAATCGATTCTTGGGATTTAAGAATCGATATTGTTCCGTAAAAATGAGAATCGATTAAAATCGAGATATCGATATTTTTTTACCCAGCCCTAGTAAAAAGGGTGTTGTTTTACACTACCATTGAGAAATTTTAACCAAAGTATGTTATAGACTTTTCATTAAGACCCTAAAGAATCATATCAACTTCTGATGACCCCTTTAACATACTATGATTTGGGACATACTAAGGGGCCGTTCAAACAGAACACATTTTTCCATTCCAGTGCGCTACTTTTCCATTGTTTTTCTATGTAAACATGCACTAGACAGACGTGTATGACAGCATTTCACACATGAGCACTGAATTTTTAAGATGCCGTGTCATGTTGAAGGTAAGGAAGGCGATTTCGGAGAGGATAGCAATAGCAACCTAATTTGAAAGCATAAGATCCCACCCTCCCTGCAAATCACTCTCCAAAGCCACGCTTCCTACAAAACACATGAATGTCCACAGGCAGAGCAGAGGCTAACGATGAGAGACAGCGTTAGTGGAAGATTGAATGCATTGCTGTCAGATTACCTCATGTCTCGTTCACATCTCGCATTTTAGACACGAGGACACGTTCTGTGTTTGAACGGCTCCTAATTCTATTTTGAAATATTTAGTACGGATAGTATGTGAATTGGGACGAAGCATAAGGTTTCTGCGTAGATTTACCTATGACACCCCAGCATTATGGCATAGAGTTTTGGAAGATTTTGAAAGTTTTTACCTTTGGAATGACAGCGAATTGTGCACAGACCAGGATTACTTATTAGGAAATATATGATTTCATATTGAAGCCTTTTTTAGAACTTCTTTCTTATTTCTGCTGAAGTATGTTTAATTGTCATACCGGCTTGTCCTTCATAAGAAGACGAGGCACAAGCAGAAGCAAGTGTAAGCTCGTTGGTTATGTCATTCTGGCAGCAGTGTGCATGCAGTAAGCAGCACAGTCACCTGGCTCTCTCTCCTCCTAGATGATGGGCTTTATTTTTAGACTCCTAATCTGTTTCAAAAGTTGTCCAGAATCATCCACCAAGCTTGAGCAGCTCCCCTGCTGTTGTCAGCTTCATAATTGGTGAGCTATAAAAAGATTTAAAAAAAGACTGAATCTGCACTTTATGCACTTGATAGACTGAAGATGAGCTATAGTTACAACAGAACACACACCTAGAGAAATATCATATTGCTCTGAGGTTGCTCTTGTGTAGCGCTGGAGATAATGGAGTTCTGTTTTATTTGATAAATAACTACTAAAAATGTTTGTATTTTTGCAGATTTTGTAAATCTGCTTTCTCATATTCCATCCAGAGACCTCATCCATCCAGCCTGACACACAGCATTAGCTGAACATTTTCTGTTTGGCCAACCAAACTGCAAAACAGCACATTCTATACCCTTTTGATGTATTTTTATTAATTTATTTTATTAATTTATTTTTGGGTAATTCTAGTGGTGCAGAAATTACACGCTTCACCATGAAATATAATGTTTCTTCTAAAAGTACTTAGAAAAATATTGGAGATGTTTACTCTTGCCATTTAATTTCAAAATAAATGTTATTCAGTGTACGGTAATTTATAGTCACAAATCTATCTCCTCTTAGAATTTTTTTTTAATAGTGTGACATTTCACAACTGCCTTGTAATATCTCATAATTTCACTGACAGTATATATATATTCTCAATAAGGCTTAACATTACACAGAAATCTGATTAATATAAGCATTTCTAAATCATAGGATTTCTAGAAAAAAAATCAGTTTATGGCAATATCACTTTAACAGAACGCATACATAATCAGAATTAGTGTTGTCACGGTACCAAAATTTCAGTATTCGGTACCAATACCAGTGAAAATCCACGGTTCTCGGTACCAATTTCGGTACCAAAGCAAAGCACATTAATATAAAATGCCTTTGTTAATCAAAAATGTCATGATGTGGTCATTGTTGAAATCTTTTATTAAAGGGGACACTCCTATAGTACATTTTTCTTGAAGTGTAAATTCTGAAATGTAAATTCTGTCATCATTTACCTCAAACCTGAATGAGTTTCTTTCTTCTGTTGCTCATAAAAGACGATATTTTGAAGAATGTTGGTAACCGAACAGTTGACGGTACTCCATACTATGGAAAAAAAATACTATGGAAGTCAATGGCTACCGTCAACTGTTTGATTTTTTTGAATCATGATCGCACTGATTGTGCACACTTCCCACATGTGTATCTTTTTAATCACGACCATTGACTTGCACAGTGTCTGGATAGAATAGTTACACAATGCTACAGTTTAAAATCCAACTGTCAGTCTTTCCATGTTTGGGAGTAAAGGGGGAATTCCTTTCAGGCTGATTTGTTGAGACTGAGCAGATCCTCTCGGCACACTGCTGGAAGTGTACAAGAGGATAGGAAGAGTTAGTTTGGCATGGGCAGAAATAACAGTGTTGGCTGCTTTTTGGTGTGTGTGCAACTGGGAGAGTTTAAACTCTCTGTGACTGAGAAATAAAGACATCACATTATAAATGCTGCAAGCAGAGCGGCCACTTGTGTGTACAAGAACTATGGGTCCAAGAAATTGTGGGGAGCGAGACAGAAAGAGGAAGAGAGAGAGAAGCCTTCCTGAAGGCCAGGATGTTCAGCCTTTAGGAAGGAAGTGACCAGTGTTTCAAACACACAAATAAATGAGGTCATCCATCACTGTGTTCTCTACCCCACTGATTAAACCTCTTCCTTCTGGCCTGGGGCTCTTTCATCTAACCCTGTTACCCCAAATAAACACAAACACATGCAAGACTTGAGAACCTGCACAC